GGACACAATGTATAACTTAATAGGTAAGGTCATTAACCAGAACTAAATGATAAACAATATTTTATAATATTAAACCCAAATTAGTTCAGCACCATTGGTTCTTATAACACTGTTCATTCCAATACTAGAATATCAATTGTCATTAATTAAAATGTATTTCAGTTGGCAATTAACAAAAGTTGGGGTTTCATCCGATGACATGTATGCTTCTAACCATGCTGTCCATGCAGCTATCTGACAGTTTTTAATTTTCAACATTCCCAAAGCCATTATTCTCAAGATTTGCCAAAAAGGTTTTCCAAATAAGTACATTCTTCAAGTAGATGCATGTTTACAGTAATCTTGTGTATTTATGATTAAATCGACCTTGCAATATCTTGTTCAAAACCGTCAAATCCAAGATAAACGACAGTCAGCCATATTACCAGTAGGATTTCTAGTTTGTTGACCTTAAAATGGCCAAGGTTTTACTCGAGTATAAATATTTACACTTTATTGAATAGCCCCTGTATATCGCTGACCACGTATTGCTGCTTTTGTCGCGGTATAAGATGTTCTTTTGCACGCCAAAGGGCTTATTTTACGCATAATTGTATCTCTAAATTGATCATTCCTGACTTTAAATTCCAAAAGCCACGCGAGAAGCAGTTTAAGACGTCTTTACAAGTCCAAATATACTAAATTGCAACAAATAATCCAGTCTCACTCCTTGCGTAAAAATATGCCCAGTCAGCGTTTTTAGCTGGATCTACTGTTTACTTCCGCTTCCGGGGGCACCACTGTTCTATGGTGTTCCGGTTTGGATTATCCCAGGGCTTCTGAGAGCAATAAGCGCAGAAGCCCTGGGTACGAGGTTGAGCTAGCGCTCGGCAACGCTCGGCAGCAATCAACCTCGTACCCAGGGCTAGTCGCGAATAGCGTTGTCCGCAATTGACGTCACGAAAATTCGACCCCCCGCGAAGACTCAGACAAACATTGGCAACATTTAATATAAATAGTATTATGATTAAGAGCTTCCCGTGAGTTAGTTTAATAGTTTGATGTTTGTTTACGG